ACATGTGTCATGTCATGATTATGAAGGTGTCATGTCAGTCTTATGTACACCCCTTCAAGTAAAGTGTTACCAATCATAACTTAGGGTCCAAAGACAGAACTAGGTAAATCGTTTGTATTTGAATTTGAAAATGTCTTAGTATTTGGTTTTAATGTTAACAGCACTGGAGCTGACACGAACAAAGCACGATGATCATGTTCTACATCAGGAGTAAGTTACTCAAGTTCAGAGGCCAAACTACATCAAATGCGAAGGGCCACAAATTACAATTGGCATCATCAGACTTTATTTAAGACAATAAAACTACTGCGATTGTATACATTTAATAAAAATAATAAATCTGCCTAATATTTTGAGCGCAAATTGTAATAAAATATATTAATCTTCAGCATGCCACAAAATTAATGCAGACGGGCCGCCTGTTGAGTAACGTTAACGTTACCTCTCTACTTTATAAATGCTGTCTTAGCGATTCACTAGGTTTTAGGATGCTGCTTTTATATTCGTTACCAAACTAACGTTAGCTGATATTATCCAGTCATTTAAAATCGGATATAAGCCATCACGAAGAAATCACGTGCTGTACAATTTTAGTTTACAACTCTTAGTCATATGCTTTCAAATTCATCAACACTACACATTCTGCTTTTTTAAAAAATCTTGAATAATCTGACATAACATTTCCATAGTACAGTAATGTAAAAGCATAAAAACAAACCTTGTGTGCGCGTCTTCTAAAACTGTCCGTGTGGAAACTCTGGCTGTGCCGCTCGACGGATCCTGTGTGTGTGTTTTTAAATAAAGCAATAAGCCCCAAGAAGCCGTGGTTTACAGTGAATGTATAAAACGGATAGTTCCGGTCCTTGATTCCGATTGGTTGAGCCGTATTCGAAGCTGTTGTAAATTACTCTACAAACATACACCTTTTGTTTACATCTGTGTGTTGCTCGGCAACCACTTTGTTGCAACCACAACCGTTTCTGAGGAACTACATTGTTTGGCGGAAGAATAATGTTTTTATTAATATATTTTATTTGCTTTGTTTTATTTTGTGAAACCTTGCTACATATA